AGGTGTGCTCTGACCCACCTGGTACATCCAGCACCATCATTCTTCTTCATCTATATGCCATATCTCTTCAGGATGTTGACGATCATGGCTCTCTACAATTTTCTGTACTATGTAGCTGTTAATAGCTTTTGTATTTTTTCCCCCTCCCAATCCCTATTCTGCTATCCATTCACTCAATCTCACCAGGTATGATGTGTGTTCTTTCCTCTGACCCACTTAACTTCAATCTGTCCTGTGAGCATCAAATTTTCCAAGCCTTCATTTCTCATTATGTGCTCCAGAATTTTCAACTGTCTCTTCCTGATGCATAAGTGTCCTTTTCACTGCCATTGCCTCTAGAACTTCATTGTGTTTGGTTCATGATATTCTCAGCATCCTTCTGTAGAACCACATTTCTGTTGCTATAAGTCTCTTCTTCATCTTTGATAAGATTGATTCACTGCCATATAGGAGGACTGATACTACATAATAGTTCAGTACACTTTTCTTTGTTTTTAATATTTTTCTATTTTTTAATACTTTACTCAGCTTTAAGAAGGCATCTTTCACTATCCCAATGTGCCTTTGGATTTCCATGTTGCTCTTTCTGTCCTTTGTTAATATGCTTCCCAGATATTTTATTTACATCTCCAATCTGTAATTTGCATAGTGGGCTGTCCCTTTTGCTAACAGCCATAGAATATCACTAACATATATCCACTATTGTACTTATCTCTTCATTAAAATAAATATCAAGTTAAATGTGATAATTTCAATCACATCTATTAACATGGTTGCTGTCATCATCATCATCAAGATTATTTGGATTGTTTGTATGGATAACCATTATGCTTTTCTGCAATAGGATCAGAGTGTAGTATCTGTTTTATTACCTGGAATCAATTATGCTTTCTGACCAAGAATCTATATAATTCTGTTTTTTTGTTTGTTATACCATTGATTCTATTATTTGCATGATTCACAGGTAGACCATTTCTACCACAGATTCAATTGACACCTTACCACAAAAACAAATACTTCTGGCATGACACTGCTACCATCCTAACTCTCTACAGACATCATCAACTTCCTTATTTTTCCATTTATCCCAATCAGTTGCAGTAGCCCTAACATCATCATGATCTTAAAATCACCTCACTGTGATGACAACCTTCCTAGTATTCTATAAGTCTCTCTTGAATTTTATCTCCTGAAGTAAGATTCAGTCTTGACTTCTGATAGAAGGTCATGTGACTGAGTCAACTAATCACATTATTGTTACATTTCAACCGTACGCAATGCACATCAGACATAAAAACTTGCTTTGAATTCCTTGAAATTGCAACCGACTTTATCATTATTACTTGCTCCTGGACTTAACGCGGCGACCATTACTGCAAATAGGAACCAAACCAATGTCAACTCACATACATCACTCATTTCCGTCTTTAAGCTGTGACACATTAGTTGGAAATTTAGACTCCTTTGATTCATCGACCAAATAGTTGCGTCTTTTCTTCTCTATAAAAGGCAGACGTTTGTTTCTAGAGTAACGCCACTTTATCTACCGACATTCACTGGGTCGAACACCATAAAAATTATTGAACCATAACCAACAACTTAGGATTGGAAATGCTTTACTATCAGGTTTTGACGTTGTATACTTTGATGAGGAAATAAATTACTTTTTTTTGTGGCAGTTATTTTTCTGAATCAAATTGTTATTCAAAGACATATCTGCAAAATTTGTTGTAAAAACTAGCCAATTCTACTTCTTGAAAAATAATAGCCAGGTGACTAGTTTCTGGTAGACCAGCCAATCCCTGATGCAGACACCTGCTCAGGCAAATTTGTGTTTATTCACCCACAGAACCCACCTGTATACTGCAACTATACTGAGCAGACCTTAATTAAAGTTTCTGGGAGAGAGCAACATAATCTGATGTGATCGACAGTCTGAACAAGGCCAGTATGTTCAGGTCCTTGGTGACAATGACTTGTGAATTTGTGTGAGTACTACTATCAATGGCTTCCGAGATCTGTCTACCTAATTTCACTTACAAGGCTTAGGTCAACTCATGGTATGGTTTTCAGTTACTTTCCAAAGGTACTGTACACCATCAAAGATTGATAACGTCAAGAATATACCTTCCAAACAAATCAAAACAAGGTGAGAGTCAAACCCAGGGCTCATCTTCAGAAAGCAAATATTTTAACCACTCCGCTATATGTCAATATTCTTGAAAAATAAAAACATTCTATTTGCTGGTTCCCAGACTTCATGAATTCAAGCGCCCTATGAGGCTGGCATCCTGCTCTCACCCTTTCACTGTCAAAACTACTAAATGTAGCCGTCTCTTCTACTCCAATAGCTTCATGTCATGCACCTCTCGCCTGTGGAACTTCCTTCCCTATTCCAGTTTCCCTGAGAGCTATAATCTCCAACTATTCAAATGTAATGTCAATTGACATCTCCAGTTGCCTTGATCTATCCACTATCCTTCTCCACATCCTTTCCTTTATCACTCCTATCTGATCTTGCTCCAAATCTTCTGTAACCCCTTGCGTCCTAGTGGCTTCCCACCTTGCTTGGGGTGAAAAGCTTAAAAAAAAAAAAAAAATAAAAAAATACCCAGATGTTCTAAAATCTTTATGACTTGTAGATGTAAGGTTTAATTTTTGCGATATGTGAGAACTGACTAACTTTATTTGATTCAATTTTATTATAATAAATTATTGCAATAATAATTCAATATCTAAGCAGGAGATTTGTATTGTACCGATATATGAACAATTCATTGTGATAGTGTGAACGAATGACAATGTCATTTCTTTTGGCTGTTAGAAAATTTATTTTCATTGGTGGATGAAGACTCTGCTTTCTTTTGATTGGATAATTCTAGATATCTCAAGTGTTTTTCATTTGTACTTGTGAATGTGTTGTTCCATGTTTGAATCTACCTGTTCTCCTTTTTGTCAGAGATAGAACCATTTTTTTTTTCAGTTCTCTTATGTGAAGATGTTCTTAAGTAGGCGTTAAAAGAACTTGACTAATACACATATGCATACTCACACAGATCGCCTGGAAGAGCTAGTAAGAGAACAAGCCAAGAACACATTACTTGTATATTTTTTTTTTCAAGCAAGTCTTTATTCCCACAAACAAAACATAGTCTTTGTTTTATACTTATTCAAAGCCTCCAAGAAAATCAGTGACACCAATACACCTTATATTTATCTATTCTTATTTCAAATTTTTAAATGTCATCAAAGTACCTGAAAACATCTTTTGTATTTTATAAGCAGACAAGATTTTGTTGAGCAACAGCAAACATTGTGCATTTTCTGATGGAAAAATGTATTGGTTTAAAAAAGAATCAATGTCCTAAATTTTAAAAGTAATTTTATTTTTAACTAAAATTCAGGTTTTTACAATATTTTACAATAATTTTTAGGAATTTGAACACCCATATATGTGTATGTATGTATGTGTGTGTGTGTGTGTGTGTATATGCTGGATAAAGAAAAGAAGTAATTAACTCCTCACCAATACATTTACAATACACTTGCTTGTCTTCTTTTCCCCCTTTTTCTTCCTTCTTCACATCCCCTAGCCTCCTTTTCTATTACACTCCACATCATGCATTTGCTTATTTATTTTTGAAAATAGTAAGGTAGTGTTTTTTTACTTTTGGATAATCTATTAGCCATTATCAAGGATATTTTGTTTGTCTTAATATGTAGATTGTGATAATAATAAAATTAAAAAAAAAAACTCTTGTAAGCATACAAGAAAAATATAATAAAACACTTAATCACACTGTCCTGTCAGTTATCTCCAGTGAAGCCTGTATAAAAGAGGTATTGCTGCTCAAATACACAATTATATATATATATATATATATATGCACTCAGATTCCAAAAGAGAAATGAAAAAAAAAATAATGATAACAAGACAAGAAAATTATGAAAAGAAGATATAAACATAACATCCCTTCACATATGCACACATACAGGCATACATACACATGGATAAAATATAAAAATAATGAAAATGAGAAAATCAACAGACAATTGCTGATACCTCCTGACAAGTTGACCGAACAATTACAAAAAGTTTTGTCTACAAAACCCTGGAGTAGAAGTACTGGATATAACACCAACCAACTAACTGATAAATTTTACATTTGTATTAGATATATATATGTAGATAATTTCCTCAGAAATCTGATCTTGATGACAGTTTATGTGCAATTTGTATGTAATAAAATCCTTGGACAGACCTTGTCAGTTAACTTCAATAAAATGTTTGAATATGAGAGAAAGTGAGATAAAGACTCTCCAAAATATATATGTATAGATTTGTAAAAAGTTTACATACTAACTGAGGTATAAAATATTTTTTTGTAAAAGTAGAAATGAGGTAATAATATGAAAAGTTTGTATGAAAAAATAATGCAAAAGAATTAAATTTTTGTGAGAAAAAATAATTTGCAGCACACTTTTTTGACAAAATTATTGTTTACAAAGAAAGAATTTTGAAGGAAATAAATTTTAGATGAAGATTTAAAAAACAAAATTGAGTAAATGCAATTGCTGGGGGAGAAAGTGTAAGTGAAAAATAAAATTTGAGAGAAAAATTTCTAAAAGTAAAAAAATGTCTTGACAAAATATTCTTGAAAAATGTCTGCTACATTAGATTTTTTTATCAATCTTTTTTCTTGGTGTTTTTTTTTTTATTTTGTGTGTTTTTTGTTTTCTAATAATTTAAAATCTATTTGGCATATTTTGTTGCATTATGGCAGGAATATTCCTCCATGTCTGAAAAGCTTAAGAAAAGTTATGACTATTTTAATGTTATTTTCGTATATGTCAATTTCTTAATTCTTCAGTAGCGTATACAGCAGACATTTTCCAATGCATAACATGAACTTGGTGATAAATACTGAAGATATATGCTTATTGAGTCATCCAATGGTTAGGGAATTTACATGGAAGGAGGAAGACATGAGGAATAATTTTCAGGTCATTTCTAAGGAAGTGGAAGATGTAAGGGAAGGAATGAGGAAAAGAAAAAAACGAAGAAAGGGAATGAAGGAGAAGGAAGACAAGGAGAAAGATGGCAAGAGAAAAAGAGCAAGAAGAGAAAAAAACCTAAAGAAAATGAAAGCTAAATAAAAGAATTTAGAAAATCAAGAAAGAGAAAGAAAATAAAAAAGTGAAAAAGATTAAGTTTATGGAAAGTAAAAAGAAAAGATAAATGACTGGAAGAGAGTGGGAAAAGAAAGGAAGAGAAATGATTGATAGAGTGGGGAAAGGAAGAGGAGAAACAATTGGTAGGGAGTGGGGGAAAAGAAAGGAAGAGAAATGATTGGAAGAGAGTGGGGGAAAAGAAAGGAAGAGAAATGATTAGTAGGGAGTGGGGAAATGACTGAAAGTGAGTGGGAAAAAGAGAGAGAGAGAAATGACTGAAAGAGTGGGGAAAGGAAGAGGAGAAACAATTGGTAGGGAGTGGGGGAAAAGAAAGGAAGAGAAATGATTAGTAGGGAGTGGGGAAATGACAAAGTGAGTGGGGAAAAAGAAAGAGAGAAATGACTGAAAGAGTGGGGAAAGGAAGAGGAGAAACAATTGGTAGGGAGTGGGGGAAAAGAAAGGAAGAGAAATGATTGGAAGAGAGTGGGGGAAAAGAAAGGAAGAGAAATGATTGGGAGAGAGTGGGGAAAAGAAAGGAAGAGAAATGATTGGGAGAGAGTGGGGGAAAAGAAAGAAAGAGAAATGATTGGGAGAGAGTGGGGAAAAGAAAGGAAGAGAAATGATTGGAAGAGAGTGGGGGAAAAGAAAGGAAGAGAAATGATTGGAAGAGAGTGGGGGAAAAGAAAGGAAGAGAAATGATTGGAAGAGAGTGGGGAAAGGATTAAAAGTGAGTGGGGAAAAAGAAAGGAAGAGAAATGATTGGAAGAGAGTGGGGGAAAAGAAAGGAAGAGAAATGATTGGGAGAGAGTGGGGAAAAGAAAGGAAGAGAAATGATTGGGAGAGAGTGGGGAAAAGAAAGGAAGAGAAATGATTGGGAGAGAGTGGGGAAAAGAAAGGAAGAGAAATGATTGGGAGAGAGTGGGGGAAAAGAAAGGAAGAGAAATGATTGGGAGAGAATGAGGAAAAGAAATTAAATATAAAGTATAAAAATTAAAAAATAATATACAGAAAGATTGAAAAAGAAAAAGTTGAATGAGAGTAGTAAATACTATAAAATAAAGTAAAATGAAATGAAAGGAGAAGGAATGTGACATCTAAAGAATTGCAGTAAAAGAAGAAATAGGAGTGAAACAAAATGAAAGAAAAAAGAATGGAGGATATGATGAACAAAAAAGAAGAAATAGAAATCGAAGAAAAAGGAGATGATGATGAATGAAGAAAAAAAAGAACTGGAATAAAAAGAGAAGTTGAAAGAAAAAAGGAAAGAAATGGAAGGAAAAGATGATAAATGAAAAAAGAAATAGAATAAAAAATAAGACAAAATATGAATGAAATGAACAAAGATAAAATTATAAGTGAAAATGGATTTTGGTTAGTCCAAAGTAAATGCTGATGAAAAACAAAACTTAATTCTTTTCTAAATAACCAGAAATTGGAATATAAAAGAATAAGAAATTAATAGACAAAAGGATAAAAATGTGGATAATAATAAAGAGAATAAGTAAAGAGAAATTAAAAATGTGCACACAGACATGAGAGAAAAAGCAAGAAAAAAGGAAAATGGAGAAAAAGAAGAAAAAAGATTGGGGGGGGGTAATAGAAAAGATTGGAAAGAAGAAGAGAAGATCTAAAAGAAAAAAGATTGGAAAGAAAAAGATCAGAAAAAAAGAATAAAACAGATTGGAAAAAAAGATGAAAAAATTTGGAAATTATCAGAAAGATAAAGATGAAAAAATAAAAAATTGAAAGAAAAAAAGATGAAAAAATAAAATGAAAGAAAAAAGATGAAAAAATAAAATGGATGAAAAAATAAAATGAAAGAAAAAAAGATGAAAAAATAAAATGAAAGAAAAAAAGATGAAAAAATAAAATGAAAGAAAAAAAGATGAAAAATAAAATGAAAGAAAAAAGATGAAAAAATAAAATGGATGAAAAAATAAAATGAAAGAAAAAAAGATGAAAAATAAAATGAAAGAAAAAAGATGAAAAAATAAAATGAAAGAAAAAAGATGAAAAAATAAAATGAAAGAAAAAAGATGAAAAAATAAAATGGATGAAAAAATAAAATGAAAGAAAAAAAGATGAAAAAATAAAATGAAAGAAAAAAAGATGAAAAAATAAAATGAAAGAAAAAAAGATGAAAAATAAAATGAAAGAAAAAAGATGAAAAAATAAAATGGATGAAAAAATAAAATGAAAGAAAAAAAGATGAAAAAATAAAATGAAAGAAAAATGATGAAAAATAAAATAAAGAAAAAAGATGAAAAAGTAAAATGAAGGAAAAAAGATCAAAAAGTAAAATGAAGAAAAAGGTTAAAAAAATGAAGAAAAATATTTAAATAAAATAAAGAAAAAAGATTAAAAAGAAAAATGGAGAAAAAAAATCAGAAAGAAAAATGTAGAATCCAAAATGGAGGAAATAAAAAACTTAATACATGTTTTAAAAAAATGTTCATGACAAAAAGAGAAAGAGAAGGTGTAGAAGGAGATGAAGATAAATGAACAAAGAGGAGAAGCAAAAAGATGGAGGAAATATAAACTGAAGATAGAAGGAAATCAGAAGATTAAAAAGAAAAATGATAGAGGGTGAGAAATAATAACAAAATGAAAGAGAGGTACGAAAGAGGGGGAAATAATAATAAGATGAAAGAAAGGTACAAATAGGAACTGAATGAAAATAATAAAAGGTGGAAGAAGGTGAAAAAAAATCAATATATGCTTGTATAGTTCGCTTAGAATTTTTGTGTTGTGTTAGCTGACTGACCTTTGTATAGAACATGTCTTTGCTTGAGGACAACAAAAAGGACCACTAAAATGGAGCTTCTCTTAAGCGTTCTGACAAAAAACATTTTGCTAAACACTCCAGACAGTCAGACATTGGAGAAGAAAAAGCGGATGCCAAAGAATGCACACACATATATATATATATATATATAGGGAGAGAGAGAGAGTTAGAGAATGATAGATAGATGCAGATATTATAGACAGACAGAATGACATAATATAGATATGAGTAGACAGAGAAACATGCAAGACAGACAGATATACATGCACTGAACCAGACATGCAAGTTTACAGACAGACTTAGATAGCCTAAACATAGACAAGGCAAGGGAAGCTCATTTACAACTACACAGATAAGATGCACACTCATATGCACGAAGTGAACGCCCTTACAGATATGCATTCAGAGTTGTGTAGAAATATGAACACACAACATGAAACGCTATTAGAAATAAATTTACACACAGATACATGTAATGTATATACCACTTACACATAGAGAGTGACAGAAATACAAATACACATACTGAGAATTAAATAACACTCTTTATATACTACCACTATCTCATTATCATCATTATCTTTAGTGTATGAAATGGGTATAGAAACGTAGCATTTAATACAGGAGAGATGTATAGTAATATATTGCATGTATCCCATAATTGTTGTTATAAATGAAATAAATATTATGGGATAGAGATAGAACAAAAATAACATAAAACAACAAATAAAACAATTATAGCTTAAGAGTCCGTATCCTTAAATGTATATAAAAAAAATAACACATCATACCTCTCTTACATTGCATTCATTTACATCTTTTTCTATGATTTTATATCCCTAAATGTGCCCCACGAGCTTTATCACATACTTCTAACAGCTTAATTTAAAATATAGTATTGTAACACCATTTCAAAATTTCACTAAACTTATCTATTGTCTTTACCTACCCCGATGAAGTCAGGAAGCTTGGACTATATTTCCTGTACATTTCATTTGAAATGAACTTGGGACAATTTCTGACAGAATTTCCTTATCTGAAAAGCATCATATGTAACTTGGAAAATGTGATCATTAAAATTAATCAACACAAAATGCCTGTCATTTTTAAAAGAATTTGCCTTAAGGTACATTTGCTACCTAAATACGCAGAGTATATATATATATATATATATATATATATATATATATATATATATATATATGTATGTTACACTTTTAAGGATTGTAATATTTATTGGCAAAAGTGCTCAATAACAGGAATAGAGCTTATGTAAATGTAAAAGTAGACACTGAGGTCAACACTGAGAGGCCTGAAGATTGCATTCAAGAATGAAACAGACAATCGCCACTTGATAAAAAAACAACTCTTTATCACTGCTTATACATATATATATATAAGGGAAAAGTTCTAAGTTACCAAGGAATCTTCACTGCAAAATTCTAAATTCTTGTTAATTTGGTTAAGCTTTGGAAAGTGGGATGGTCTATGTGTGTGTAGCGATTTTCCAAGCGTAGCTCAGATGTGGCACAAGGCCGAAAGTATGGGGTACCCAGTGAGGATCGAACTCACTACTCAGTCATAATAGTTATAGCGAGACAAGCTTGCTTACCATTACAACACCTCGAGGTGCCCTGGTCTATGCGTGTGTATATGATTTCTTATGTACACAACAGTGCCCAACTTCAATACTTTTAAAAGAGCTTTTTAATACACATAAAAATAACATTTTTTTCATTATTTATCTATTAATAAACTGTTTAATGCATTTCAATGTGTTTTTTCATAATGGGTTTTTGATATCCTTGGACGCTTCTCAGATCTACCATTCTGTATGCTATTTTGGATTCTTTTCAAAAGGAATGCAGCAGCATGCCGGCAGTTCAGTATATATATAAACTTTTCAGTGCCTCATATAGATATACAAGATATATAAAAGGGTAAAAATCTCAGCCTTACCAAGAAATTTTCAGTGTAAAATTCCTAATTCTTGCTCATTTGGTTAGATTTTGGAATGTGAGATGGTGTGTGTGTTTTTATATATATATATATATATATATATATAAATGTGTGTGTGTGTGTGTGTGCGTGTGTGTAATGGAGGTACATTAAGTAAGGGGGAGCAAAACTACACCAAAACAAATACATTTCTTTCTGTTTTTTTAAATATTTTATGCACTTGAAAAAAAAAAGAAACAAACAAAAAACTACACATTCATTTTGGTGTAGTCTTGTTCACCTTAAACATGGAACATGACATAACCATAGACTTTTTTCGAACTTTCAGATTTCTAAAGAATACCAGAAAGTAGCCAATAGAATCTTTCTGACCACAAACATACCACATGGTTCTTGAAAATGACAGAGATGGCCAAAAGTTCTTATATGATATATATATATATATATATATATATATATGGCTATATACATATATATATATATGTATATAGAGAGAGAGAGACAGAGAGGACACTGAAAATTGCATGAGGAATGAAACTGAGTCACTATCCAGTGTTTATTTCAATCCATATGATATTTACAAATGGTCTATGATACTAAGCATTCTTCCTTGATAAATGTGTGAATGTGTGTGTTTGCATGTATATATATATATATATATATATATATATATATATATATATGTGGGGAAAATGTATGACAAAGTGTGGGATATATATTAACAAAAGTGATGGAAAGAAAAAGAACCTAAAAGAAATCAGCTAGATTAGAAAAAAAAAAATTCCCAGCATCCCTCATTCATGCACATGTGCAGTCACAACAACATAAATTTAGTTTGATGAAGTTCTAAAGGATGAAATGCGCCACAAGAAAACTTTTTCCACAATATTGTTCTTGATATATATATATATATTATTTTTATTCATTATAATTTTTTTTTTTAAATATAATTCCATCGTGACAGAAATTACTGTGTTTTGAAACGGACTACAGTCATAAACTTTAATTTCAATATTAAAATTTGGAGCACAGTTTCATTCTCAAGTGAGGCTTAGAATAACTAATTGAAGAAATGTTTTACTCATTTATAGATTAGAAATGGAGGTGTAATCTGGGTTTTTTTCTTTCGTTATCAAGGGGTCTCTATTCTGATGAAAGTATGAATATTTATTCTGTAATGAGCACAGTTTTTTTAAAATTATTAATTCTAAAGAACTTTGGATCATTAATCAAACTATTCTTTCCTATTACATCAGTATATACACACGTGTGCGTGTGTGTGTGTGCATGTAAGATAGATATGAAACAAACATTTTGAGATACATGAATAAACACTTTAGACATAAGTGGTATGTGGCTATATTTATATTTCACACACACACACCACACTGAAAAGTGTTTGAATACATAAATCTATTAATGCTCAGCAACATAAATATATACACAAAAATACAGGCTCATACTGAAATGCAGAGAGTGAGAGAGAATCACTTAGACAAGCATATATACATTAATTAATGCTTTTTTGCAGGGACAGAGATTTAACATTCACAGATGGTCTACTTGGACAGATGTCTATAAATAGGCCTTTAAATGTCTTACCCTGAGGCCCACCTACACTGCTGTTCAGTTCACTTGGCATTATTTATAGGGATGTGTCTTTTTTTGAATGCCATCAATGGACATTGATGGAAAACAAGATGCTTATTGAATGATAATAAATTCTCTTATCTACTCCAAGTTGTCAATAATAAAATTTGGACAAAATATTTCTTGCATTGCTATATATATATATATATATATATATATATATATATATATATTGGTGTGATGGATAAATTGTTCTCTAAATTATGCAAAAATGATAATAGCACTGACATCTCATTTTAACATTTTCAAAATTGCACAAAAATATCTTGAAATACTAGAGAGTAAATTTATTCAATAAAATTGCCATTAACTTGAACCATGGCCTCCAGATGACTTCAGATTCCCTTACATCTCTTCTGGACAGTCTACTTGTTTAAGGTGGTGTATGGCTACCATAATCCCTACCCTCAGTTCATCTTCGGTTTTACAAGGAGTTTTGTTGGTCTCTCGCTCAACTGCACCCAACACTTAATAATCAAGGCGATTAATGTGTTAGGTTGCCAGATGTAAGGGATGATGTGGCCACATAAATTGTTTGACAGCCATGACTGGGTTCTCTTGCTTGTGTGGCATGGTGCAGAGTCCTGTTGTCAGACAAAGGGTCTTCCAAGAACCACCCTCTTGACACAGGGCATGAATAGTGGACCAGTCCATTTACTTATGAGAAATAATAAATTGATAAAAAATGAATACAAAAAATAATGAATTAAAATAGAGAATGAGGATATATATATATATATATATATATATATATATATATATGATGACTGGCCACTTACATCTGAGGAAGCCTGTCTACTAGGGTGGCTAGCTAATCCCCATTGAAGACGCCTGCTCAGGCACATTTTATATTTGTTCAACACCCACAGACCCCCACCTGCAGTTTATATTCCAACTATTACAGTTACAGTTTCTGAGATAAAGCACATTATCTAGTGTGGTCAACAGTTTGAATAAGGCCAGCATGCTCAAGCCCTTGGTCACGATGACTTGTCCCCCACCCAAGGGTTCCATCTACCCAATTTCATTCACAAGGCTTGGGTCAACATGTGGTATGGTTTTCAACCACTTTCCAGACCAGTAATATCAGGAAGTCTCCTTCCTGACAAATGGCTAACAAGCAAATGTTCTAACCACTTGGCCATATATATAACACAGAAATGGTTGACTCTCACATCGTATTTGATGTTTGAGGGTCAGCAACTCAGTTCCTAGGAAGTGACTGCCACACACCAGTACATATGATTTTATTATAGTGATGAAGGCTTTGTGCAGAACCAACCACACTTTTTGGAGGGCTGAATATGGAGACCTGGTGCACTATGTACCACAATATCTCCAAACAACCTTCCTCTGGTTTTGAATTCAGAGTTGTCCTTCTAGACCAGTTGTCATTCAAGGCTATAGAACCCAGTCTGTCCTGCTATTACCTATAGCTGGAGGGAGAAGAGGAGG